TCGAGGATGAGAGTCAAAGCCAGATACGAAGCTTTAACAGCCGCAGACACCCATGAGCAAGGTCTGAAAGGAGAAACTGCATCAGCAACACATAGTGGATACCACAAAAAGAAAAGATGAGCACTCGTAGTGGTGACTGTCTGTTAAGGGGCACTGAGACACTCACCTGCTGACCTGACAGGGAGTCATGAGAGGTATGCTACCTTCTGGAGCTAAGGTCCAAGATGTCCAGCCAGTGATGAGTGGTGTTCCTCAGGGGTCAGTACTGGGACCAGTGATGTTTGACATCTTTGTTGGAGACATGGACAGTGGGATCAAGCGCACCCTCAGTAAGTTTGCTGAGGACACCAAGCTGGGTGGTGTGGACATGCTGGAGAGAAGGGATGCCATCCTAGAGGGACCTTGACAGGCTGGAGAGATGGGCCTGTGAGAACCTCATGAAGTTCAACAAGGCCAAGTGCAAGATCCTGCACGTAGGTCGGGGCAATCCCAAGCACAAGTACAGGCTGGGCGGAGAAGGCATTGAGAGCAGCCCTGAGGAAAAGGACTTGGGAGTGCTGGTGGATGAGAAGCTCAACATGAGCTGGCAATGTGCGCTGGCAGCCCAGAAAGCCAACCGTATCCTGGGCTGCATCAAAAGAAGCGTGGCCAGCAGGTCGAGGGAGGTGATTCTGGCCCTCTACTCTGCTCTTGTGAGACCCCACCTGGAATACTGTGTTCAGCTCTGGAGTCTCGAACACAAGAAGGACACGGAGCTGCTGGAGCAAGTCCAGAGGAGGGCCATGAAGATGATCCGAGGGCTGGAGCACCTCTCCTATGAAGACAGGCTACTATGAAGTCAAATGAAGCATGTGACTGGGAAACACCAGAATGAATTCACCAAGGGCAAATCATGTTTGACAAACCTGATCACCTTCTACAACAAAGAAACCTGCTCGAGTTGATGTGGTGCGAGTGGTGGACATTGTCTACCTAGATTTCTCCATGGCTTTTGATACAGTTTCCCACAGCTTCCTTCTAGAGAAACTGATGTGTCACGGTCTTGACAAGTGGTCTGTTCGGTGGGTGGGGAACTGGCTGACTGGTCGCACCCAGAGGGTGGTGTTGTTAAACAGCTCCTTTTCAAACTGGCAGCCTGTCACAAGTAGAGTCCCCCAGGGATTGATACGGGGCCCAACACTGTTTAGTATCTTCAGAAATGATCTGGATGATGGGATCAGGTGTACCCTGCTGAAGTTTGCTAAGGATACCAAACTGAGTGGGGAAGTGGACACTTTGGAAGGGAGATCCACTCCGCAGGAAGACCTGGATAGGGTGGAAGAGTGGGCTAACAAGAACCTTATGAAGTTCAACAAGGACAAGTGTAAGGTTTTGCACTTGGGAAAACATAATCCAGGAGTACAGTACAGGCTGGGATCCACCTGGCTGGGGAGCAGCTCTGTGGAAAAAGACCTGGGGGTCTTGGTAGACAACAAGCTCAGTATGAGTGAATACTGTGCTGCTGTGGCAAAGAAAGTCATCAAGATGCTGGGTTGCATCAACAAGGGCATCACCAGCAGAGACAGATGTCATTGTCTCACTTTACTCAGCACTTGTCAGGTCACACCTGGAATACTGTGTTCCGTTTTGGTCCCTGCTATTCAAAAAAGATGTGGATAGGCTGGAGAGGGTCCAGAGAAGGGCCACAAAGATGATCAAAGGATGGAGAAACCTGCCGTATGAGGAAAAGCTGAGAGAACAGGGTTTTTCCATCCTTGAGAAAAGAAGGCTTAGGGGACAAGTTGTCACCATGTTCGAGTATTTAAAGGGTGGGTACAAAGAAAATGGAGACTCCCTTTTTACATGGAATCACATTGGAAAGACGTGATGTGTGAAAAGGGGTAATGGGTACAAGTTACTCCTGGGGAGATTCCGATTGGAAAATTTTTCACAATGAGAACAATCAGCCATTGGAATAATCTCCCCAGGGAAGTGGTGGATTCCCAAACATTGGACATTTTTAAGATTCAGCTGTACAGGGTGCTGGGCCATCTTGTCTAGATCGTGCTTTTGCCAAGAAAGGTTGAACCAGATGATCCTTGAGGTCTCTTCCAACCTAGTATTCTATGATTGAATGACCTCAGATTTGGCCGTTTCTGGGAAATACATCAAAATTAAAAATAAAGAAGAGTCATGATGTGTTGTACTGAATGATCAAATGTGGAGAAATTCCATCTTTAACAGAGGAATCAATAAAATAAGTAAAAAGTTTAAAACCAAAAGGAATATTTCAACTGCCTCCACTGTATCACACACATACATTGTATACACAATGTACACTTGTGAACATTAACCAAGTCTGATGAGGTGCAGGAAGAGGGTTCATTTACTGAAAAAATTCTGCAAATAATTTAATGAGCAAATCCATCTTTTCGGTTTACTAGCTATTTCTCAAATTTCCTCTTTAATACACAATATCATTAATATTATAATCTTCTACAGAAATTAATATCAGAAGACACACTAGAAATGCTATTACTTTTTAAGATTACTGCTTTCAACTTCCAAAAGGAAAGAGGGCAAGTTATTTACACAGGCTAGTCACTAAATGACGCATTTTAAACACGTGAATGCCCTTTATGCACAAATGTATTTTCTTTCCATGCTTTATGAGGGCAAAATATCAAGAATGATGTAAGGCTAAACCATGAAAACAATACACTTTTCCCTAATTTCCTTCACAGTAAGGACATTGTAATGCACCTAAATATGATAAGTATCTATTAGTGGTTACAAAATGACATTTTGCAATATGGGCTACTATTTGATATTCAGATTAAAGATAGAAACGCTGTTCTAGGTAGCTCAGATGGCTGTTTATAGTTATTACTTTTTGCCTGCCAATACAATCCTAAGAATCTTTTTGCCAAGCTAGAAAATATGCCAGAAAATGAGTGTTGATACCCGGTGAAAAACATACAAGTGAATCATTTGTTTTCTTTTACCATGCAGCACTTAATGAAACTAGGAGAAAAAAAATGAAGTAATCATTCAGAAGATAATGAATTCAACAAAATCTAACAGTATACATATTGTGAAACTACAGGTAAAATACAAAGTAGAGCAATCATTTTATGAAGTATCTCCTTTCAGACTGGGCTAAGTATATGCACATATAATATCTAAGCATATTATATATAGTCTTACGTATTAGTCCTTTACAAGAGCAATTTAATTTCTTGGGAGATTTGCTTTTTTCTAATTTTAGTTCAAAGGAAAAAAAAATCGTAATGAAAACCTTCTTAACATGGGGAAAAAATATCAAATCCAACTAATGTTTAGTTTTGGCTCAGGCAAATGACTTTGTAATGAAGTCCAAATGTTTGTGTGCAATAAACTCATTTACCAACATTAGAAGCAGTAAAACAGAACAGAATTACCAACATAAAAGTTCAGGACTATTTTGGTAATTTTCTTTTTGGAAAAAAATCCATTACCGGCAGCTGCTCTCTAAATGTAACATCCTACAGAGCCTCATATTTTGAAGGTCCTACACTGCTGATTTCTTAAGTCATATTATTTTTATCAATTTTCAGTAGCTTACAAGACTCTGTAGGAGCCAAGCATCAGACACAAAGGTATTTTCACTCTGTTAGTTCCCAACGATAACAATACCCGAACTTTCCACTAAGCTTTTTCACATTGACTAAACTGTTGGGCACAGGAAAATACTCATTTATACAACAAAATTGAAGCTGGGTGTGTCTTCACTACAGCAAAGCACAAGTCAGGTGTAAACTGCTTTGTTCTCAACTTTGCTGTGAACAGGTCTGTACTATTTCAAATAAGGCTACATCGTAAAAAAAAGGCTTAAATATTTAGCAGAAGGTAAATCAGTCTGATCAGTTATCTATTTATCAACACCACGATATCCACCAATATCTCTCTTTCCAACCCTCATCTTCTTCCCAGAGGGCAAGGTTTGAAGCTCTAATCACCCCAAATAAACAAAGCAGTAATGCAGTACTAGAGAATTTGATTTCATTTTGTTTTACCATTTTCTCAACATCCTTGTTTCACCTCTGTGAAGTCGATTGCCATAAAAGTTTCATGAAATTCTCAAAGACATTACAAAATCTACTGCTAATCAAACTATGAACGCTTGGCCTAAGAGAAAAAGAGGGAGAAGAAATTACAACTCAGTAAAAGGTGCACAGAAGGTCTCTTTCCAGATGTGCACATCAGAAGTACCCAATAGCGTGGACGATCAGCCAAGCTGCTAAATAACGTGTCATGTGATATTTGCCATTAAGTTCAAACTACCACCTAATACAAGTAGTTTGTACTTGATAGCATTTCTCCTCATCACCAGGACGCATTAGTATTCCTTGTAATTCATGGAGTTTTCAAGTAGTGTTTCCTTTGAAGAATGCAAAATTTTAAGAAAATAAAGTCTTAAAAACAGTGTTGAGAATGAAGTGGGGGAAGGAATACATACGGCAAGAGATTCAGATTTGTCACAAAGACAATTCCACAAAGGAGTAAAACACACTAAAGGGTGTACTTTTTTTTTACAGACAAATAAAGGTAAAATACTAGAATACAACCATGTTTAAGAAGCAAGAAAATGCAATCAGCTCTGTGTTTCAGATGATTTAATACCCTTTATAAGGGTGTGGGTGTTTTTTCTCCTCTCCCCTCTCTGTCTCCCCTCCCTCCCAAAATGAATCTGAACTAAATTTTCCTGAATTTCCTGAACTTCTGAAAACTTTCTGATTTATGATTTGGCATCATTAAACCACTTTGTTTCAAGTTCTCATTTCTGTTTCTTTTCAATCACTCAGTAACTTGACTTTTTTACTTATGGGATACTAGAGACAAATAACACTGGGGGTTATTTCTAATAAGTCTCTTTATAACATTTTTGCTGTTTAAGATGAAATTCAAAAAATCTTTAAGTAAAACTAACTTTCCAACTGTAGAATATTTCAAATGTAGTTACAGCAGATCTGGAGACTCACCTCTGTGCTTGAGTGCTATAGCTGTTATCATAGGAATCATAGCTTTGATCATCATAAGCAGTTCCATAACCATCATCATACTCCTGAAATGATATAAAAGAAAGGTAATATTAACTGCAAGCACACTCTAGAAACAATGTAGTAACCTAGTTCTAAATAAGAGAGACAATACTCTCCTGAAATGCACATTATGACATACATACACCATGAAATGGCCAAATCTTAGTGATGTTAATAGAGAATACTTCCATTTAGGAGGCCACACACATCTAAGATTATTATTAGTTTCAAGGTATTTTAAATTATTGGTAATGTGCTTCAAAAAGATTTTTTTTTTCAGTTAACACTAGCTTGTGCAGAGACAGTACAAATGCTTCGTGTTTCCATGTACTTGAATTTGAGATGAGTAAGGTACTGATCTTCAAGAAAGTTCTGGGAAGCATCTCAGGAATCAAATAATCTGAATAAATATTGTGCAACCGATTTAGGTAGCTGATTTATTTCTGGACAATAATTCAATATTCTACGTAGACTATGGATGGGAAAGAAATTCCCTAGAGATAAGACTAGTAAGAATGATGGTTTTACTTCTTTGAATGCTTTCTGCATACTCTTCAATTTGTCGGAATTTAGCATCCATTACGAAACTAAAAGTAAGGATTTCTTACTCCTCCCACATTATCCACACTATTTAAGTATACACTGTAGTAACACTCTTCCCAAAATAGCACTGGATTTAAATATCATGTTGAACAAACCACTAACTCCAGCTCAAAGTCATACAGAAGTTTTAAGATCAAAACAAGTGACAATGATGCTGTTTTCCCAGAGAAGGATGAACTACAGCAATCCAAAGAACTGTCACAAATTTACTGTTTCATCCAATATTAAACCTAACCAAGCTAAACACATGAAAAGTAGAAACAGCACTTCCTTTGTACTGACTCCTAGGAAATCTTAATATTGAAATCCTATCCAAATATGCCAAAGACCTCAATGGATATTTAGGGGTATCTTGTCCAGATTTTGTCAGATGAAAATGACCTAACAAGAAGACACTTTGAAGATATAGGGACCCAGAGAAATGAAAATCAGGTATCATCTTACATATGGTGTTTTCTGAATAATCGTGTAGCAAACTGGCAACAAAAGATAAAGTCTCATGAAAGAACAAAATCTTTCCCAGGAAAAGGATTATTTAAGAATCTTTCAGACATGACAGAAAACAAAACCAACCAGCAGTATCAATTACGCAGGGATGACAAATGATGGATTGTCCAACTCTAGTAGAAGACATCTCCAATGATGGGAATCCGACAGCTTTCTAGACATTGCAAGGAAAGCTTTCTACAGCAGAAGCTAATGACGTCCTTAAAATACCTGATAGGAAACTGTGAATTTGCTAAGAGGATTTTTAGCATTTCCCCAGTCATTTGAAATTGCTTATATGGAAAACCAGGTAATCTGCACATCAACACTGCTTCACCACCGCTAGATCAGTGAACATGATTGTTTCCCAGCAGTGATCAGTAGAAGGGTGTCTATGAGTATTTGCCCGCACAAGTGAGTGACAGCCTATTCACAGGTCTGGAAGAAGACACAAAGATTCTTCCAATTGTCTGTTGCGAAGAGACTATAGATAAATAGTCCCACTTGAAAAGGAAATGCATTGTTTTCTCTTTCGGTAATTTGCTGTCCTGAAACTAAAAATTAAAACAGATTCTTAGCATTTTCTTTGCCCATCTGATACAGATATGGATTGTTCTTGATAAGCCACACACTAAACCCACAAAACCATTGCCTCCTGGCAGTTATTCCAAACAAGCACTTTATTACTTATTGATGCAATACACAGGCATCTGTTAACAATGCAGACACTGATCAGCAGTGGAAGTTGAGCCAACTTATTTGCTCTGTTCCAGAACATTTACATGACATTTGGTCTTCTCTGACAGAATCTCCCAACTGTGAATCAGCCATCCCTAAGAGGGGCTCCCAAACTTCAAATCGTGCACACCAGGCAGTGACGACAAATGAAAGCAGAGGACCAAAATTAACCTTTTAACATGTTAGGAAAATTTTGCCACTAAGTGATCCTTGGAGAATCCTTAAGCGATCAGTTCTATTCTTCACATTTACATTAACTATTATACTAAAAAATTGATCACGGAAGAAAAGGGGAGAACAGACAACTCTGAAGTTATGGTGCATCTATGACCTCTTGAAGATAAACAAAGTAAATTTGAAATAGGAAGACCCTTAACAAGATGTCTAGCAGAACAAAAAGAAAATGTCAGGGAGATCTCTGCTATATCAGACTTAGGTGTTTCTAGTGTGTGCATTTCTATTCCAGAGAAATTTTGCCCAGAACTCATTATTGTCCACCATTTCGTGTTGATAAATTAACCTGCAGAACTGCATTCAGTCCTGGGGCCCCCAGCACAGGAAGGACATGGAGCTGCTGGAGCAGGTCCAGAGGAGGGCCACAAAGATGATCCAAGGGCACCTCTCCTATGAAGACAGGGTTGGGGTTGTTCAGCCTGGAGAAGAGAAGGCTCTGGGGTGACCTTATTGCAGCCTTCCAGTACTTAAAGGGGGCTTACAAGAAAGCTGGAGAGGGACTTTTTACAAGGGCATGTAGTGATAGGACAAGGGGCAATGGCTTTAAACTGAAAGAGGGAAGATTTAGATTAGATATAAGGAAGAAATTCTTCCCTCTGAGGATGGGGAGGCATTGGAACAGGTTGCCTAGAGAAGTTGTGGATGCCCCATCCCTGAAAGTGGTCAAGACCAGGTTGGATGAGGCTTTGAGCAACCTGATCTAGGTGGGGGAGGGTTTCCCTGCCCATGGCAGGGGGGTTTGAACTAGATGATCTTTGAGGTCCCTTCCAATCCAAACCATTCTATGATTCTGTGAAATTCACTACTGTAGAAATCAAGTCCTGCATTATTATACTGTTGAAAATGGCTCTTATAAGCCTTGAATAGAAAGATATCTGATTTGACACTTACATATAGGACTCTTGTCACTTAGCATAAAAAAGATCAGGCATGTGCTGTTGCTATTACTATAATCTGCTTAAATAGATCAATTCTTCCTTTTTATGGCTGTATTTACATTTATAAACCCAAAAATTTACATTAAAACCAAGATAAACTTCATGTGCAACATGCTGAAAAAAATACAATAGTTTAAGGAGCTGCTCTCAATGGCTTGTTCTGTTAAGAGATTCAAATTCCAAAACATTTGTTTAATGTGCACTAATCCCATGAAGGAGCAATTAGGCAAGGGTAGCTGAAGTATGTTTCAGAGCTTTCCCTGAACTAGGTCTGACACAGTATTTTCTCTTAGTCATACAGTATTTGAAAACTTTCACCAGGTTATGAGTAAGGTTGGCCAAGGCAGAATGTTTTACATTTTAGATTAAATCCACACTACTTCAGTATTTTCTTTCTGACACAGACCTCTCGTGGCTTCAATAAATGTTTTCTTTAACTTTATTTAGCATCTAGAAATATCCTTGGCCATCTGGCATGTTTCAGTAACATAAAATATCATGCTAACTTAAATAACTATCATTTTTACACATATGAAAACGAACAGAAGAGAACTTAAATATGCACAGATATTCTGTACTTAAGTACATTACGGATTCACTGACAAGCATTGCTATACAGATTTCTTTCTGTATAACACAGGAAGAATTACGCCTTCACAAGAATATTTTAATTGCGTTTTTCCTG